TTAGCTCCTTCCTCGTCCGACATTTTCCCTTTTGACTTGTTTGTAATCCTCACTTAATATGACAGGATTCCCTCTTACACATGTTATCGCTAATCAACCCTTATGTTTTGTCTATGATAATGTATTTTAAGGAGATGTTCTTTGTGTAGATGGAAGTTAATTGTTTTTTGGAAGTTTGTAGCATTTGTTTTCCTTTTTTATTTTATATGGGGTCTGTTGGTACTTGGACCTAGACACTGTCAAATAAACTGTTTTGTATGAGTCTGACTCCTCAATATTCGTTTATTTGTCAACACTTTTCTCAGAACTAAACTGTTGGATTTTCACTGTTAACCTGTGCCTGAGCACGGCCCACTTTGTTATAAACAACAGTATGTCGGAGGCAACCTGGCTTCAGCACGCTTGCCTTTGGAGTAATACAGTATGAGTGTGGGCCAGCAGGGTAAATGGGGCATTGGGGCTTCAGGATGTTGTGGAACAAGTTAGTTCACGTCCTCTGTTGAGTGATGGTTTCTCCAGGTTGATGTCGATGGCTTCCTTCACTCCTATTCCAAACTATTTCTTCTATCCATCCTCTTTCTGTCCTCTGTTCTGTGTCTGCATCCTCCAGATGCAGATGAACAGTCTGTTGTTGTCCCTCAAGTTGTGCCAACGTCCCATGTGACTCACCTTTTTTTTTCTGACCCAAGTGATATCAACATCCAGGTGTGGTCACCTCCCCTGTTTACCATAAACCTTTTCAGACAAACCAGAATTTTTTCAGAATTGAAGAAAACAATCCAATTGAGTGTTTTATTTTTCTTTAACAATTTAAGAATTTTATCCACATATATAAGTGCTGGTCTGGATCCTTGCTGAAATGTAAAATAGTTAATATTTTTTCCCATTTTTGAACTTGGATTTAGGGGAGTTTGACAGAAGAAGAGACAGGTCGTGGCTAATAGACAATATGTCTGACGTCGTATGTGACGGTGATGTGTAGAATTTTGTTTCTGCTTCATCGTATATTAAGTATTTACGCTGACCGATATTTCGTCTCCGCCAGACTAAATGTTTTCACACATTAGGTCCGTGGTGACAATCTGCAGAAGTAGTGGATTATCTCCGCTGTGTTTGCTGTGCCTTTGTGTTGGGATTAGAGATGCTGTTTTTACTCGGCTGAAATGACACGTTCAGCAGATTTATCCTGCATCTGTGGGAACGTTTACATTTTATGTGAATATTTCCTCATTTTTTTGTTAGCTGAGTTCTCTCATTAACTTTTAAATTGTTGGACTAATTGTGTTCTACTTAAAGACTCTATGATAAAATGAATTCATTCCTGTGTGTTAATAAAAAATCCTGGTTGTAGTCCAAGCTGCTCAGGTTCTGTGTGGAGGCTATAACGGTCACTTCAGTGCAGTTATTGATCACTTCCTGTTTTTTTCTACACTCAGATCACAATCCTGGTGCCAGGCCTCGCATCACAAAAAAAAAAAGATGTGCTCAGTGTTTTTGTTTTGTTGTGTGTTATTTTGGGCTACTGCCAATGTTGACTACAGAGTTAGTGTGTGAACGCATAAAGCCAGAAATGTGACAATATCACAAGACCAGCTACAACCTGGCAACCTGTGCTGTAATCTGGTGATAGGAGGGATTCCTGTGTGCAGCAGATTGACCGTGAGGGTCTTATTAAGAGGGATGAGGGCGATTACTGTCTCTCTCTAAGTGGACTTTGAAGAGAGGGGGGAGGGTGAAAGTCTTTTTTTTCCCCACTGTTGTGCACTAACCAGCCACAGTGTCCACCTGCAGAGTTGAAGCCAGTCGTTCCCAGCTGACATCACAAATATCTGGGGACCACAGAGACATTTATTGTTATACTGTCTTGTAAATGCTGAGTAACCACATTAGTAAATGCAGTGTTTGTGGTGTTTTAAATCATGGTTTAAAAATAATAATAATTAGTTGACTAGAAATATTTTAATCAATTTTTTTTAATTAAATACTTAACATCAGGTGACCCAATTGAACTCCAGGCGACCCCACAAGGGCTCACGACCCCAAGGTTGGAATACACTTTAGTACCAAGTTTAGCCATTAAAAGTCAAAAATCAAAGCCATAAAAGAAAGTTATTTGTTTAAAAAAAATCATAATGGTGGATTTCATTTAATTGGATTTAATTAAGTATATAATAATACTATGCTGGGGTCAAAGGTTACTATCAAAGTAACTGTCAAAGAGGACAAAAACAGTGCACCCTAATTTACTCTCGTCCCTGATGTTAACTTTTACATGACACCATGACTGAGCGTCTCTCCCTGCTACACTGAGATTCACTGAACAAACAACATAAAACAACACACACAGTTTCTCTGCTTATTTACATCCAGACACAGAGGGACGTTTGGAAAAGCGACACACAGGCTTGTTTATCACTGATAATACACGTTGTTATCTGTGTTATGATTATGATTATCATTAATTATAATAATTATCAAGGCTGTTTACTCACCCACTGAAACTCCTGGTTCTATAACCACTGAAAATATTCTTACATATGTTTTTCTGCCCATGTCGCTCTAGTAAAAACATCTTCATGATCTCACCCCTCCTCTGGTTTCCCTTCTGTCGCACTTGTATCTCATTACTTCTGGAAATAATTTCTCTAGTTGTTGTTGTTAAATGTTTGTGGAAAACTGCGTGAAGCTTTTCGAGTCATTGCCCTTGATTGTGTTCTGTTTGTGAACGTCTGCTGTTACTAGTGTTCCTTCATCCTCAAACATATTGAAAAGTCAGTGGAGACCAGAGCACCAGGAACCCACTCTGTGTCTGTGTCCATGAGTCAGTTCTGTTTAAGGTCCTGGTCCGCTGTTAGCCGTGTGGTCGAGCACCCTAAAAGATGTCATGGTGTTGCATTCACATGCATTCTGATTGTGTACTCGGGTCAGTGTGTATGAGTTCATTAAAAATGAAGTGGGCAGAAGTAGGGCAGCAGGTTGTAGCGCCACAGAAGCTGCAACTGTGTCACATGGTCATCAGCTGCAGTCTGTCCTGTCGTGCACTTTTTCTTCAGATTTGTGTCACTTCCATCATGGTCATCAGCTGCAGTCTGTCCTGTGAACACTGTCCAGATGTTGGTGTGTTGTTTAATTGGAATGGTCAACACAGGCGGCGCTTTGTTTTTGTGGTATTAGTTGGTGTCAGAAGTAGCCATTTCTGTGGTCAAATGAAAAGCTTATTTTTATACATGTGTAGACTGCAATATTAGTGCTTATGGGTCTGAATCTGAATTTTTAACGGCTTTCTAAGTGTTGACTGCTGATGCATACATAGTGACAGGCTGTCATGTCAGATTCTCCTCTCCCGGTATGGAGTCTGATGAGTCAGAGTGAAGTGCGTTTACAAAAACAATTTATTAATTTTGTTTGACTTTTTTAACACACATAAACCAGTGGTGAATCAAGATTCTTTTCACAATGTTATTAATGTTATTAGTCTCGTCCTTACGATGTCCTTCCAAACCTACAGATTTGAAATCTCGGCCGGGCAGAGACAGAGACCGGAGCTCCTGCCCAGCATCTTTCCAGAAAGCCTGGCAGAGGGAAGGACAATGGAGCCAGACCAAGTCCTTCAGCCACCAGCTGAGCCAGTCTGTGCTGTCGCTGGTATGATGGTGTATCTCCTCTCAGTCGAGTCAGATCAATAATGCTTGACCTATTTGGGATACCAGAAAAGAGGTCAGTGTTTATGGACTCTTATTTTAGACAACAACCCCAAGACTTTTTTCATTAAAAATTACAGGGATTCCTTGATTTACTGAGGTAACAGATCACTGGACATTCAGATCTTCTACCTCAATTTTACTGTTTTTTAATTTGTTCAGAACATGTCGCACAGCGCACATGTCCGTAAGTTCATCCAAAAGCAATTAAATGGGTATGGAAACATTTGGAAATTGAAATTGAATTGAAGAAACTGTGCCAGTATGTCAATAAGAAGCTCCATGGTGAGATTAAAAATAAATGGAAAAGCCTAAAGAGACTTTTTTGATTCGTTTCTCTATTGCAAGAACAAGAACCCCAAAGGTGATGAGGGAGGGAGGTATATGTAATTATTACATACATTATGTTATAATTATGGAAACCTGACAGAGTGAACTTGTGGACTGTAACGTATGACTGACAAAGAACATTTTTCTACCTGTGCTTATGCATTTACTACATTGTTGGATTTGTGATGTGTATTTAAGGAAATTAAAATTGATCAGTAATTTAAAGTAGGGAAAAATGTATAAATATTGTCTCATTAGCAAACATTTCATGACTTCCCTACAGTCTCTTTACGAACGTCCCCGGGTGCTGCAGGGTCAATGGCAAAACAAGGCTCAACAAACTGAAGAATTTCCCAGTGGCCAAAAGTAAATGTAATTGTTTTTGTATAAATCCCACTGTGTACTCAGATACTCACACAGTACTTTTTGTTTTTTTTCCCAACAGAGCCTCAACTAGGTCACCAGGGGGACGATATTGATTTTCCTCACGACACAGGCAGGGGGCAGAACACGCAGCAACACTGCCGGGGATGTCCTCTGACTTCAAATGTCTTCGGGTCACACCAGGTTCCACAAGAACGAGCTCAGGTACTGACCTCAGGGTTGAATCTTCTGAGGTTGGAGATGAGACGATGTTAGATCAAATAAATACAGGCTGTTACCTCTGCTTCATTCGTATCAGCTAATATATAAACCTGTATTGAAAAGACCATATAATAAAAAGATCAATCATGAGGAATCATTAAAACATAAGATCAATATCTTGAAATAAAACAGCATCTAATTTTCTAATGTGCAGCAAACATTATTCAAAGCCACATCCTGATCTTTTGTTGGAGAGTAAAAGTAATGTGTATAAATGTAGGTCATGAAATAACCTCAGGTCTGTTGTAAGGCTCTCACCTGCTCCACTGTGTGCTCTTTGTTCCAGGAAGCTCCTCCTGTTGGTGTGACGGTGAACAACACTCGTTTTAGCCTGGTGAGTAATTGGGTTTCCAGATCAACGCTCACAGAGAAAATGAGAGAAAATGAAACATGAAGTGGCAAACTGTCGCCTTTTATTTTCACATCTCAGCGTAGGGCCAGAGAAAACACTCAGGGCTGCATCGTTTCCTTTGTCGAGATCCGAATCATGTTTACATCAGGCAGTGACCTTGGTGTATCTTTAGGAATGACAAATAATTATAAAGATTTGTTAATATAGACTGATTAAATTTGACAACATTAGGTGCTGAATAATGTGCAAAATTTCAAAATGTTTCTAACTCTAGAGGTTAAACAGTTCACCTTAACGTCTACCGTAAGATGTGTCAGATGTGGATTAGGTCGACATGAGCAAGAAATCTGCTCAGTTTCCCTGTGACATTACCTACAGCCCTGGGAGGTTTCCTCCATATTCAGGTGTTTTTTTCCTGACCTGAAAGGAGACTCATAAACTCCACGGTGATGTTGATGTTGATATAAAGTCCGAGATGATGAAGTTAATATCACTGCTGATGTTGACGGAGAGGCCCAGAGGAGTTCAATTGTGAGTTTCTTTGTTTCCTCAGTTATGAGGAAGGCTTTCATACTGGAATATGAAGGAAAAACAATTTCCAGCAGATTTTATATCTTCAGGTGTTTTTTATTTTAGCTGGAAATAGAATAGGTGTCATGGACACCATAGCTCATTGTTTCCCAAAGACTGGGTTGCGACCCTCATGTGGGTCGCAAGACTTTTTTGGGGGAGTCTTCTCGCATCATGTTTCCCAGGAGTTTACGAATAATGTCTATTGACTTGGGTCGCAAAGGTTTAGTTCTTATCTCTGAAAATGTCTTCATTTGATTCTACAGTTCTTACCTCTGAAAATGTCTTCATTTGATTCTACCTATTCATTTAGCCACAGCTACAACAACAACAACAACAACAACAACAACAACAACAACAGTAACAATGTGACTCAACATAAGCTACAGTTGCACTAAAAGAGAAAAAAGGTCATTTAGATTAGAGTAGTTAGTTTACATTTCTACATCATATAACAATACATGAACATGTGCATTTCTCAGTCTCTAATTCAAAAGTCTATCGAGGAAATCGGAGATTTAAGCTCATGAAGACGTAGGAATTTTTGGTTCTTTGCTGCCTCTTGTGGTCGGTTTGTGCTACTAATAAAGAGATAAATCTGAGTAAATAATTACAAACCTGGAAGAGAAAAATAAAAACTCATTGAATTTATCTCAGTGAGAAATAAGTGGAATAAATTTTTAGTGTCTTGATGTAAAATAATTTGCTAATAATTTTGCTAATAATTTTATAAGACAAACTTACACAGAAATAATATTGAATTCCTAATGTAGAGGTGTCTTAAGATACAGCGGACCACAGCAGGTGTAGAGTTAGTTTGTTGTTCTTATACCGTGACCTACATCTCCAGCCATGGCGAACATCAACACCTCAGGCTGCGGCACAACAGAACGAACAGCCAGTTTGCTGGACAACACGTGGCTGATGTTTGGGCGCCTGTTGTGCACTCCGCCTGTTTGTCCGGCGGACACCTGTCTCATCCAGTTCTAACAGGTCTTCAAACCCGTCACGTCGTGTTTTCTTCACGGGCATCTTTGTCTGAGCTCTGTGAACCAGAGTGAATACGGGCGGCTGTGGCCTGGAACATGGCTGTTTTTTTATAATCACTCTAATATATTGGTAAAGCTTTTTTCTGCTGCATGTGTTTTGACATTAAAAGTATTTTAGTTTTGACCTGAGGTCCAAAAAGCCTCATTACAGATTGTAATTGTTCTTTTGAATATTTTATACATCACGTTATTGATCCCAGGGGACGGCAGCTTCTAATATTCCCCACAGTTTAGTGCTCATGTTTTAAATCCCTCCCCCAGCCACCCCTCAGTATTTCACTATTAATCCTCCAAGTGAAATTACTCTCTGCATTTAGTCCATCTGTGAAACACTCCAGTGATTAACACCAGAAACAGAGCGGCACATGCACAGGCCTGGGCAGTGTGGCAGTGGCACACAGTCCTGCTGTACGGCAGGGATTTGAACCTGCAGGTTTCTCCTCACCAGGGTCACAGGATGTCCAGAGCCTTTAAGGAATACAAAATCACTTTGGTTTTTGAACGTTTTTCCATCCAAAAACTTTTTCGCTACAGCTTTTCATGCGTCACGCATGTAAACATTTTTGTGTGTTTCTAACAGCACATGCACACATAAATAACCTCTCTCTCTCTCTCCCTCTCTCTCCCCCTCTCACACAGGGATCTCCTGTTGCCCGGTGCCTTTCTCTCCTCCTTTATACTTTTATCCTGTGTGTGGAAGAATGCCCGTATGACCCCCACCACCATCATTACCCCCGAGGCCCTGGGGCATTCATCACTGTGGATCCCCTCATTTACCCTTCCCCTCCCCACCTTTTACCCAGAAACCCAATTACCTCCTCCTCCTCATCCTCCCCCCTTTTGTTTTTTTCTCCCCTGTATCACAGCCTTAAACAAAGCTGCTGGCTTGTTTTGACGGCGTCAGATGCCACACACACACAGATTATTATCAGTTTCAAAACATAATCTCAGAAGGCTCCCCTCGTGGAGAGAGGCCCCCCGCAGGACGTTTATCTCCCTCATAAAAATAATGACCGGAATACAGAAGAAGTGGCCACAGTGGGAGCAGAGCCCAGTGAGACTCCACACTTTCAGATGAATAGTGAAGGACAGAGAGCTTTGGGAAAGGGGGAGGAAAAGAGGGAGGAAAGTGACGTAAAAGAGGAGGGGGCTGCACGGTGAAAGAAGTGGCAGAAGTGTCGGGAAGTGGGGGAAGAAGAGGAAGAAAAAGAGGCTCGGGGGTTACAGATGGTAGAAAACAGAAGAGTGTGATGCTAACTGATGGTTAACACGTGGAGACGAAGGCTGAGGATCAGCTGGGAAAAAAAAATAAGAATGTGGAAGTGCGAAAGGAAAAAAATAACAGGTGCCAAGAGGACAAAGAGTTTACCGTATAAAATATTCCCAGAGTGGAAGAAAACTAAGAACACCGAAACGGAGTGTTGAGGGAGAAGTTGTGGAAAGTTTGAGAAAGGGAAGGAAGGAGGGGAGTAAGAGAAGAGAAGAGAGGGGAGGACATGCATCTGTTAGTGTTTTCAAAAAGAGGCAGAGAATGGAGGAGAGGTTTATTTATTTTTTGGGAGAATCTAGAAGGAGGTGAAGACGCTGTCTTTTACTCGTGCAGGAAATAAAACGAAGCTTTAAGGAGTTATCAGAGGGACTGTTATTTTCCCGTTCCAACTTTGGAATACAAGGAGAGAGGGAAGGGTTTTAGGTTGATGTCATGGAGTGTGGAGATGAATTTATAATAAGGAAAGAAGAACCAATAAACAAGGAACGGTTTGGAAGACAGGGAAGAGGAAATGAATGGCAAAAAAGAGGAGGAAACTGGGAAGGCAGGAGTTTGAAAGTAAACTCTGGAATTTCAGGAGGAGGAAAAAAGACGTAAAAAGGGTTTTCGACAATGATGGAGAGAGGAGGAGGAAAAGGCGGAGATGTCTTGGGAACATAAGAAAGGGTTGGGAAGAGGAGGAGGAAAGATGGAGTTGGCACCGACACCCCTTACCCTCCCTCCCTCCCTCTCTCTCTCTCTCTCTCCTACTCTACTCTCCTCCTCCTTTCTTTTCAGATGATGAGCAGGAGAAATCCGCTGAGCGCACTGCACTCCACGCTGTGCGTCCACGTCCTTCTCCAGCCACGAAGTGCCCAAACGCACCGCACCTTTCCGCGTCCGAACTAAACCGAACCGAACCAGGTCGGTGCGTAAAACTCCCCCTCCGCCCCCCCAGCCTCTTGTCTTGTCTGCACCACCATCATCACTCCCACCTCCTCCACGCGGACCATTTCTGACCGCCGCTGTGTGGAGATGGAGCCGTGAATCCTCCCTCTGGACCAGACCGGACTGGACTTGACTGAGCGCGTGAACCACAAGGAGACAGCGGGAGGCGGCTATGGAGGAGCAGCTGAGGGAGGCTGGAGTCTAGATCACACATCAAATCAACGGGACACGAATAAGGGACACCGATCGATCCACCTTTTTCTTCAAACTTGATCGTTGCTTTTTTTCACCGTATCATCTGAATCTGATCGCCGCTGGAAGGATGCGGAGGACGGAGGCGAGCGTTTGCTCTGGATGCTGGAGACCATCGCTGCTGCTGCTGCCGCTGCTGCTGCTCATGTCCTGCGTCCTGGCTCAGCACCTGGTCCAGGGTAAGACCACCACCACAGCGTCCATCTGCACCGTGCACTTTTGTCACACACGGCTCTTATTTGATTTGATCACTTATTCGTGTCTCCCGGCTGCAGATACAGCAGCAGCATGTCCTCTCTCTGTGGACACACACGCACACACACACAGCGGAGCCAGAAAGGAGGTCAGTGAGCCTCGGATTGTAGGTTAGGAAGCACTTAACACTCAACTGGTATTAATAGTCTGGTTATTCCCAACACCTTTTTATTCCGTGGTCGCCGGTTTGAACGTGTGTTTATGTGTGTATTGGAGCAGATATTCCATTAAAGGAATGTCCACATTCCTGTAGTCTTTGTCGTTAAGGTGTATATAAATGTGCAGGGTAGAACATGGCACAGATTAAACCATATTGTTGAATTGTGAATTCAGTGAATCCCTATAAGGATGTTGCATATAATGTGTTATACAGTATGAGGGAAAGAAATTAGGTCACGATAAAGACAATAAAGGCCAGGTGAGGACGTTACTGACACACCAGGAGGAGGTAACAATGGGGTCAGCAGACAATAAAACCCACTGGAGTACAGGACGTCAGGTCCTGTCACACACACCTGCACTGAATTCACGTACACGATGCCATATGTGGGTTTAAATGTGAATGTACACATTAGCATCCACAGAGGTGCAGAACACTGCATGACAGTTGAGACATGTCCCTGGAGGAACGTTACCACCAGTGTCCTCAAAACACAATTATATTCTAACTAAATTAATACATAAGGGGGAGGTAACAACGAGGTCAGTGACAACAAAGAAAACACTGTTAGACATCACCATTCCAGGAGTCCTAATCAGTTTATTTATATACGATGTAATCAGACATAGTAATGGATTATAAAGAGTGTTATGGTGTCACTCTGTCTCTACAGATGAGGAATAATCTGCAGACCCTATTAAAGTCATCGCATGGCACGATGTGAACAAGATAATATTAGTGTACGTGAGAGTTTTCCAGTGTCCCGGCAGGAATGTCGCACATGATGATTTTTAGGATCCAAAAAAAAAAATTAACTAGATCAGAGTCACATCAGAGACAATGGGAGTCTTTCAGTGGAAGGGATTTAGACGGTGATAAAAATAAAAAAAAAAAAAACATTGACGACATGATGATGTCTTTTACAAGTACAAACAAATGTAGGAATGTTATAGTGCCACCAAGGGGTGGTAATAATAATGGAGTGTTGACAATACAATATACTGTTGTTGTATGTGTTGTGGTTTAGCAGGAATAATCAGGAGAATTGTATTTAAGTGTATTTAAATATCTGCAAAGAGGCAACCGTGGAGACTGGATCGATGCAGACGTTGTCAAAAACATTTGTTTTTTTATGCAAATGTAAAAAAGACCAATTACCACTGCACCAGCTAAACAAACAAGTGCAAAACCCGAATCAAAACAGAACGATTTCATGGACTTTGAGAGTGGAATGTTGTTGGAGTCTGACCGAATGGTCTGAGTGTTTGTGAAACCTCTGACCTGCACAACTGGAAAAAAAAAAGAATCTCAGAAAAGTGTCCACAAATACACACAGAGGTCAGGGGAGGGTGGCAGGATTGTTATGTGAATTTGTTATGGTTCACCAACATTGGGCTGAAGGGGGCAGTATGAGGGGCATTACTTGTTCTGATGGGGATGTCAGGAGAAGATGTCACGTGATGTCAAAAGCAGAGGGTGGGTTTGTTTGTGTTGTGGTGTAGAAGAACACAGGTAACGTTGCTGTAATGTCACGGCCTACTGTTTTTTGTGATTTTTGTGATTTTTATGTGCATCCATCTTGACCTGTTTCCACCAGGATAACATGCTGTAGCTTCACAAACCTCAAACATGACAATGAGCTCATTGTACTTGATCGGCCTCTCCAGTCATGTGATTCTAAAATAAACCAGCATCAGCTCAGATATCGGTAGCAACTATCCTAATCTCCTCACTGGAGAGTAAAATCTACATCATTAAGTCGTCGCAGACACTGACATGTCATCTTCAGGAGACGACGACTGCAGCGGCTCACTGAGCAAAATCAGACGGTGCGAGGTGCTGCAAAGGAATGTCACCAAAGAGAAATATCGCGGCTCTCAGACGCTGACTCTGCCCAGGCAGTGTTGGACACACAGGATCCCTGGAGGCGCACAGGCACCGCAGCCACACAAAGACGAGGATTAGGGCTGATGGAGCCGATGAATAATTCATGAAGGGACATTCTGATACACAGAAAGAGAGGGAGAGGGTAAAAAGGGGGGAGTAAACACTAAAACCGACACCCCTCCTTTTTTTTCTGCCTCTCAGATTCATGGTGAATGGCAGACTACATTACCATCAAATTAATAATGCACAAGCCCACGCTAGATTGAACCAGTCTGGTGTCATATTTAAAAGAAATGTGGCTGTATATTTCTATACAAAAGGTGAAAAAAAAATTTATTATTATTTTTTAGTCATCAGTATCTAATATTTTCATTTTTTATGTAAAAGAAGGTATCTTCTGCAATTTTTGTTTCTCTAAGATTTCCTGGCATGAATCCTGCTGTCCCCCACAGGGGGTCCTTGGGTTACAGCGTCCTTGACTTACAGCGTTTTGTGATTTTGTCACCGTCTCCCATACGTTTATTAGGAACGTCTTGTTCTACCATTCTGACGTATGGCGTTAAAACTCGCATAGGAACTAGTTAGCAAGCTTGGCAGTTGTCACACTATTTTGCGGTATTTGGTTGCCCTTTATTTTGGCTTCCAGGTGTAATTTAGGCTCGCAGGAGCATAACTCTGACTTAAGTTGAGGACCCGCTGTAGTTTCTCTAAGATAAGGCCTTAATATGTTGACATACCACAGCTAATTTAACCAGCTGGTTCTTTTCTGCGGAGCTGAGACACGAGGAGTCAGGTTGTACTCACAGGCAGGTCAGTAGATAAGCTACTTCTGTAAACTCTCCTTTAGCCACAAATCTAAGTCCTAACTGTCAGAGATCCTGAATTGTTCCAACGCTCTCAGACTTTATGTCCATAAGTTTACAGCTGGGACACTATCTGGACTGGCAGTTTAAACGAGTGTAGATCATATCCAAGGGAAAGGACGTACGTGAGGAAGTTCATCTGCACAGACACCACGGAAACTGTTCTCTGTTGTTGGTAAAGAAACAACTAGATATTGTTTGATTTTTTTTTTAGAGAGTGCTGGAATGCAAGTATAAAACCCATTTTTCAAGTCAGACCTGCTGTGGTCTGCTATCAAGAAAAATGCTTTACTACACAAAACTTTCCCACACAGATTTTGTAGTATCACACAGAGTAGTAGAGTGAATCCAGTGTGTTTAAACAAGTACAAGGTGGTAGGTGTAATGTCTGACATTTTTATGAACACGACACCATTTTGTTCCCAATCCTATGTTTGCTTCTTCTAACCCTCGCCACAGGCCACAACTGAATTTATTTTTATAAATATTGATACTTTGTGTGATTGCCTCATAAGCGTAATCAATACCTAATCAATACCTGGTGAGATCGATATATCGATATCACATAATCGCTATTGCATATTGTACCTTTATTGCTAATCAGTGTGGTTTACTACAGGCTTTGTTGTTCCACTGACAGCACAGCTGGCTTCTACATCCTTTATAAAAACTGATCCATTTTATGAGCCAACATTTTGCCTAGAATTAAATAAAGATCCATTGTCTAAAAAATCTTACAAATTCGGGTTGCCAGATCTGGTTGAGAATTTTCCAAAACATCCTTGAGCAATCAGCAGCTCCTCCTGCCACTGGCTTTATCAGTGAAGTGAGGCGGCAGTTTGTGGAAAAAGCTCAGATGGCCGAGGCCAGCTGCTACGAGCTGATGAAAATCCATCTCAGTCTTCTGCTGCTCTGCCTCCTTTTCCTCCTGTGGCCATTTCCACTCCTGTGTGTTGATAACAGACGATGTGAAGCTGCTTTTCTCCCTCCTCTCCCCTCCCCCAGCACCGATTAACCTGACTAGGTTGTTGATGGAGGAATGATTTTTTTGTCTTTACCGTGACACTAACTCCAGCTTCTCCTCTTCCTCCTCATTCCATCTTTTCACCCTCCGACTTGTTAACACATAACAGTGAAGACTGATCTCTGATGTCCAGAAGCTCAGGCTTCAGGTCAGATCTTGTCCCATTGCTACGTTGCTTTTAAAATTCTAATCACCGAGCAGGAAAAGGAACAAGTAACAACATTCTGAACAATGGCTTTGCACCCGTTCCCCTCTCTCATCTTCTCTCTTTCCATCGCCATGGAAACCACACACAGCCGATGACAGCAGCTGCAGAACAGTGTGTTCACTTTGCCGCCATAATGTGTTCACGCTTTCGATTTAATTAAGGATCAAAATGTTGGTCAGAATTCGGTGCATGCTCACATTCCGAGCCAAGTGCAGTGGCTTAGTGCCCATTAGCTGAGCGTGTGTGCGTGCATGCGAGTCCCTGTGTGTGTGTTCAAAGATGTGCCTCGGTTCATGTAGTTACAGATTAAAGTTGAGCGAATGCCTCTGAGGTCAAAATCCAGGGGTTTGAAACACAGTCTTAGATATATGAATATATAGAAGATATATGAAGAAGCATTGTGAATCGACAGTGAAATGGTTTTAACCAATTTTTAAATGTATTACTTCAGCGAATGCATTTTTTTTAAATTGACAACCTAGTTTACATGTATCAAACAAATTTGGCCCACAAAAATCGTTTTGTGTGGCCCGTGGGAACTCAAAAAGCATTTCCCTGGTCATAATGTCCATGCTGCTGAATTTATTAACCTGATAAATGTAAAGGTTTTTATTATTACACAGCAATGTACAAGAATTGGAACGTCAATAAATACAACTCAATTACAGAAACATTTAGTAATTCGTTATAAAGTAGTTACATTTACCGTAATTTCCAGACTATTGAGCGCACCTGAATATAAGACGCACCTACTAAATTTAAAAAGAAAAACAAATTGTGCA